CTTCAGGTCCATTTCAAAACCTGAGAAGAGCTTTTGGAGACAGGGAAGCAAGTCCAGGGAACAGAAAAGAGGGAAATCGTGAAGTAAAATCCCAAAGAATTCTAAGGAAATGATCATTCTCCTTCCCAGATTTGACTGCACAATATAATTTCAAAATCTGTACCTGTTACTGAAAGTCTATTCAAAAGCAGTTGAGTTACTAAAAAGAAATGGATCAACAGACGAAACCTCAAGAGGGGAGGGGAGATATGAAGAAAAGAGGACTCTAAGTGAGAGTGAGGCAGTGAAACAAACGAAAGAAGAAAGTTGTTATGGGGGGAGGATTTGGAATGAAGGGGGAAATTTGAAAATACAAATAAATAAACCAAACACGTTCATTGTTTCTACAACATTATCACATAGAGATAGCCTCACTCACCTGATGGGAAGTTCAGAAGAAAAGATGGAGAAACTCTGCACAAATCTGAAAATCAAAACAAACAAACAAACAAACAAAAAAAAAAAACAGAGAAAATCAGGTCCATGGAAAGCGGGCCTTCTTGGCACCGATGTTTCAATACTACAGTCAGCCCAACAGCCACAAGCCCAGCGGTCCCCTACTGTGTACCAAAGCTTGAACTTGGCAGGAGAGGCAGAACAGAAATGGAGGCTGCAACCCTGCCCTTAAGGAACTTAGTATAAACTGGAAGAGCACGCCTGAAGCCACTTTGGGGCTGACGTTGTTAATAGTTTAGGAGCATATATTACTGCTCAATCTCAGGTTTCATGAACAGCATCCTAAGGGTGCTGGGGAGTTCCTGAATGGTGCAAATGGTTAATGCTCTCAGCTGCTAACTAAAAGGTTGGAGGTTCGAGTTTATCCAGAAGTGCCTCAGAAGAAAGGCCTAGCAATCCACTTCCAAAAGGTCACAGCCATGCTCTACTCTGAAGCACAGGGGGTCGCTATGAGTCATAATCGACTCAACAGTAACCGGTTTGGGTTAGAGGCATTGGACAATGCAAGGGTCAGGCCAGATCTAGGGTGGGGTGGTCCCCTTCACAGACCATGCTGGGTTTGGTATTTTTTTCATGTTTTTGTGACTTGTCTTCCCTAGAACAGAAATTCCTTGATGTCAAGTATTGGGTCATTTATGTCTCCTGTGCCCCTAAAGCCGCAGGCAGAATCCTTTTTCCACAGAAGGGCTGAATAAATAAGTGTTGATTGTTAAGTCTGGCCTAGAGTTGAAAGGGTAGGGGGTGGAGGTGGCTTATAAATGACTGGAAAAGCACTGGCAGTGACATGAGTGAAGGAAAAGGCCAGATGCACTCTGGGGAAATTAAATAGTTTGTCCACCCAAGGCAGACAGCATTGCTGACCACCTGACCTGGATCTTTCAGAATATTCCATTATGCTTGACTTCAAAACCAAACACTGGTACAACTATTAGCTCAAAGATGACAGTCACTTCACACAGTGGTATCCCCCTCCCCATGTGAAATACAGACATGTTGTTGTTGCTGTTGCTGTTTGAGTCAATTCCAACTCATGGAGATCCCATGTGTGCAGAGTAGAACTGCTCCGCAGGGTTTTCAAGGCTGTGACCTTTCAGCAGCAGACCTCTAGGCCTTACTTCCAAGGCGCCTCTGGGTGGGGCTGAATTGTCAACCTTTTGGTTAGTAGTCCAGCGCTTAATCATTTGTGCCACCCAGGGACTGGACTCCAAATATAGACATACCCATTACCCGTTGCCGTGGAGTCGATTCCGACTCATGGTGACCCTACGGGACAGAGTAGAACTGCCCCATAAGGTTTCCAAGGAGCAGCTGGTGGATTCAAACTGCTGACCTTCAGGTTAGCAGCCAAGCTCTTAACCACTGCGCCAACAGTGGCACATAATGTCAGTACAGACATAACGACTGTCAAGTCAAGATCAGAGAAAGGAAATAATTTATAGAGTCATCGTGTAACCAGCTGATTTACTCTTGGCTTCAGTCAATACACTTTTAAGACAGAAGTTCAATGCTCAAGGAGGAATCCAGAATATGAATTCAAAGAAGAATTAAAGAGTCATGGTGAGTTTCTATTGATCACAATATATTCTTCAAAAGGTAAAAATAAAGGAATAGTTCTCAGTAAATGTTCTTAATAAATTAAAGCCCAATATGCCAGAAAAACTTTATTAAGCAATGTTTAAAGAAGACAAAAATGAAGGCCAACCATTGTTGCCCTGTCCCAGGACAAACAAATTGCAAACACATGTCCCAGTGCTCAACGTGAAGTCAGCGTAGGATTAACTGAAAAACATTAAAATAATCAGAGAGAAACAAGTTGATTATGACTTGAATACAGAAACAATTTCATTTAACATTCATGAAAATGAGGATTTTTTTACACAGAGATTTCCGATACTATTTTGATGAAATTTCACAACTCAAGCACACTGCCTCTTCCAAAATATTATTGATGACCACAATAAACATGCTGGTGATTCAAGTTTATTAATAAACAACAGAAGGCTCCGTTTGCGCCTTTGGAACTTTCAGGTAGGAAAATAGGGCAAGAAACCATGAAATTTGTTTTGCCCACTGGGTGAAAAAATTAAAAAGCCTAATAATATCCAAAGCTGGAGAGTATGTGGGGAAATAGACATGTTCATACATCTAGGGACAGATTACCCCATAAGCAAGGTAAGCACACGCTTAGGGCATCAACAAAGCAAAGGCACCAGTTGTCCAAAGCAAAGACCCATAGATGCCAAGCAGACAGGAAACAAGGAAAAGCGAGCGCCACAGTGGAAGGGAACTGGCAGGGCACTAGAAGAAACTGATACCAGCTCCAGTGCGTAAGAATGTGCCTGCACCAAATAAAGTTCATGCAGGGTCATCAGGGCACCTGCATGCAAGGTTGTTTAAGCTATGAGGCCCCTACCACTTCAACACCTTCACTGACATCTGTCTCCTATGGTGCCCTCCCGTGTAACTGAAACTCCTTATCTCGGTGGGTCTCTTGGGAACATACTATTTCTTTCTAATAAACAAGAGGTGGGGGTGGGCTGTCAACTCTTAACTCTTGCTACATTCACTCACTAAAAATTTTAAAATCCAGTTCATCTTATTCCACTAAAATGGCACATGCCACTTTTGCATTCAATCACTAATATTATAGTCACATTTAAAAAGAAGTTACATCATGGATAACTAAGACACACACATGTATATACACAAGCATATATAACACACATATCCTGTTTGAATGCATGAGTAAACACAGGAGGGGGAACCACAGATTATCAGTGTTTAAGGCCCTCACATGCCTTAATCTGGCCCTGTGTACACCACCGGTGGAAACGTTAACTTTGAGAGAGTAGCTTTGCTATGTCTTGAAATTTAAATGTACACGTCCATTTGATCCAGGAATTCTAGTTGCAGAAATTGTCCCTATAGGAATATTAATGCACAAAAATATACACACAGGCACAGTCACTGCAGCTTTGTGTGAGGGAAAAATTAAAGCCTAAACTCAAGCAAAACAATGATTGTGAGGATGGTGCAGGACCAGGCAGTGCTGCGTTCTGTTGTACACAGGGTCACTATGAATTGGAACCGACTCAACAGCACCTAACAACAGCAACATCCACCAGTAGGTGAATAGTTAAATACATTTATTTAATAAACTTAATATGGAACAACTGTTTCCTTTGCCATGAGACCAGCTGAACTGAATGGTGCCTGGCTACCATTACTGAATATTTTGATCAAGGAATCTACAGAAGAATCCTGATCAAAAGGGGGAAAATACAGAACAGAATTTCAAAGTCTCAGGGAATCCAGACTTTCTTGAGCCACAGAGGATGGATGAACCACTGAAACTATTGCCCTGAGATAATCTTTAAACCTTAAACCAAAAATATTACCTGAAGTATTCTTAAAATCAAACAATAGTTTAGCTGAAGTAGTAAAAAAAAAAAAAAGTCTGCACCTTGAGCATTATGCTCTTTTAAGAACTATCTATATGGGATCAAATTGACAATAGCAACTCAAAAGATCAGATAGGAACCTTAGGGGGTAGTGAATTTATGTTAATGGGGGAGGAAAAACTCAGAAAAGGAGGGTGAGAATGGTTGCACAACTTAAAGAATGTAATCAACGTAACTGTTGAACTGGTGTATGTTTTGCTGTGTATATTCTCAACAAAAACAAGAACACAATAAATAAAATTAATAAAACCAATGTACTATATGGTACACCCATATTACGGAATATTATGAAATGGTTTAAAAAATAAAGTTAATTTATATTAAATTTATACTGATATTTAGAGATTGTTAATGCATATAAGTCAAGTGAAAACATCATTTCTTAAAATATATATACTAGGATATGTTAAGACACAAACAAACTATATATGTGCACACTCATTTATATAGTGAAAGTGGGGCTGCATAAAAAAAGACTGGAAGGAAACCCACCAAACCTCCACAGATGGGCATGTGACGGGGGGGCAGTGAAAGAGGAGACAAATTTTCACTCTGTAGAACACAGACATGTATTCGAGTTACTAATACAATTAGATATATTTCTTCTAGTGAGAAAATCAGAACACAGGGAAGGCCAAGCCATCCAGGTTCTCCAACCAGAGCTCCTCAATCTGAAGCAAAGCTCAAAGGGAGGGGAAACAGGAGGGAAATGACATCACTTGCTCAGCCGAACACCATCTCCCCTCACCCTGCTCTAACTCAATTGTTGTTTTGTTGTTGTTAGCTGCAGTTGAGTCAGCTCCTGACTCATGGTGAGCCCACGCACCACAGAACCAAACACTGCCCAGTCCTGAGCTGTCCCCATGATCCGTTGCAGATCAGACTGTTGTGCTCCATGGGGTTTTCACTGGCTGGTTTTTGGAAGTAGATTGCCAGGCCTTTCATCCTAGTCCGTCTTAGTCTGGAAGCTCCACTAAAAACCGGTTCAGCATCATAGCAACACACAAGCCTCCACCGACAGACGGGTGGTGGCCGCGCATGGGGTGCACTGGCTGGGAATCGAACCCCAGGGTCTCCCGCATAGGAGGTGAGAATTCTACCACTGAACCACCACTGCCCCCTTAGAAAGGCCCAACTGAGAGCACAAAGACTGCCAAGAGACCAACTTCCCAGTCCGGGAGCGGAAACTCACTTGGACAAGTTGTGGAAAAGAATGTTGTCATGCATTGAATTGCGTCCCCCAAAAATATGTATCAACTTGGTTACGCCACGATTCCCAGTATTGTGTGGTTGTCTTCCATTTTGTGATTGTTATTTTCCTATGCATTGTAAATCCTAATCTCTACCTCTGGTTAATTAGACAAGATTAGATTATATTAAAGAGGATTAGGTTGGGATTGTAACACCCTTACTAAGGTCACTTCCCTGATCCAATGTAAAGGGAGTTTCCCTGCGGTGTGGCCTGCACCACCTTTTATCTTACAAGAGATAAAAGGAAACTGAAGCCAGCAGAGAGTGGGGGACCTCATACCACCAAGAAACAAGAGCCAGGAAAAGAGCACATCCTCTGGACCCAAAGTCCCTGTGCTGAGAAGCTCCTAGTCCAGGGGAAGATTGATGACAAGGGCCTTCCTCCAGAGCCAACAGAGAGAGAAAGCCTTCCCCTGGAACTGGTGCCCTGAATTTGGACTTCTAGCCTACTTTACTGTGAGGAAATAAATTTCTCTTTGTTGAAGTCATACTCTTGTGGTATTTCTGTTATAGCAGCACTAGATGACTAAAACAAATGTCAAAAGCATTGATGTGAGAACGCCTGATGGCCACAGAGGCCTAAACTAAGAACTCCCCATCCTTCAGCTTCCAGATCCCTCCTTGCCTTTTTGCCACCATACATCCACCATCCTTTATCTCCTCTAGAAACTAAACTGGAATCAGGATCCAATCAGCACCAGCACTTCAGTAACAAAACACAGTGACTGCCAACGTTTGGGGTTCTTACATCATTGAAAGGGAAGGACAAGTCACAAAAGGAACTGTATCAACTTATGTAAGACATGGCACGTACAGAGAAGCTTCTCAGAAAAGACCAGCAAGCTCATCAATGGCTAGGATTAACTGAAACCTCCCGCAGTTGCAGACTGCCCCAAACCATGACATCAGGGAGGCCGGGAATGCACCCAATTTCCTCTATTTATTAAGCTGGCTAGACCCCAGGGTAATACCAGCATGAACAACAACAACAACAAAAAAGGCAAGCGGACTTTACAAGTGGTTTGGGTGGGAGGAAAATTATCTCTGGGTGTACTTAGAGCCCTACTCCAGTGCCGAGGAGGATCTCAGGGAGGCCACATCCAAGAATCAGAACTCCATGCTCATAGGCTGGTCAGAAGTCCAAGCATCCTTAGGCAACAGCAGCCCCTGGCAATTGTCTGGCTGCCCTCTGGGGTCATGTGACACTGGTCCAAGGGTCAATCAAAGAGAGAAACTATGACATGCAGCATGCTGGAGGGCTCAGCCCTTCATCTGGAATATAATGATTAATTAGTGACCCAGACACGGGGGTAAAGACTGGCTTGTAGTTCTTGGAGCTGACACCAACACCACGGAAGAAAGGACCAGAGGACAAAGAGCCTTTGATAAGTTGGGAATGGGGCCCAAAATAAGCAAAGGGAAGTTTCTTCACACTGGTAGGTAAAACGAATTGCACAAATGAAAAGGATGGTTAAGTTAGGCTTGTGGACATATACTGGAGAAGGTCTGGGGATATGAGGCTTCTTGGCTCTGGAGTGGTACTGTCAACCTAAGCTCAAACAAGGGTGGTTCTAGAACCTTGTGGTGGCCCCGTTACTGACCCAATGAAAACCTGCTGCTGTCAAGTTGATTCCAACTCATAATGACTCTACAGGACAGAGTAGAACTGCCCCACAGGGTTTCCAAGGAGTGGCTGGTGGATTCAAGCTGATAAGCTTTTGGTTAGCAGCTGAGCTCTTAACCACTACACCACTAGGGCTCCCATTACTGACCAGACCCTGACTGTCTTAGTCATCTAGTGCTGCTATAACAGAAATACCACAGATGGATGGCTTTAACAGAGAGAAATTTATTCTCTCCCAGTCTAGTTGGCTATAAGTGCAAATTCAGGGCATCAGCTCCAGGGGAAGGCTTTCTCTGTCAGCTCTGGAGGGAGGTCCTTGTCGTCAATCTTCCCCTGGATTAGGAGCTTCTCTGCGCAGGAACGCCAGGTCCAAAGGACGCGCTCTGCTCCCAGCATTGCTTTCTTGGCGGTATGAGGTTCCCATGTCTCTCTGCTTGCTTCTCTCTTTTGTATCTCAAAAGAGATTGGTTTAAGACACTATCTAATCTTGTAGACATCATCAGTATAACTGCTGCTAATCCATCTTATTACATCATAGTGACAGGATTTACAATACACAGGGAAATCCGATCAGATGACAAAATGGTAGACAATCATACAATACTGGGAATCATGACCTAGCCAAGTTGACAGATATTTTTAGGGGACAGAATTCAATTCATGACACCGACCAATAGGACCTTTACCTGCATAGACAGGTTTGTTCAGTTCTGGATGCCACCATTCAAGATGGGTTCAATTGTGAGAAGGTTCTGTTAACACTCTAAAAATAATTCATTCAACAAACATTTATTGAATGCCTACTATGTGCCAAAAGACAGGGCCACTCTGGATGGTGTGCACAAGTGTGCCTAGCCAAGGGGACCAGTGGGACCAGAATCCCGAACACAGGGCTTTGTGGAGGTACCATATGAGCCAGCTGCAGGCCTCCATCAAAGGTAATAATAGGAGCACCAAGAAAGGGCACCTATTCTGGTCTGGGGAAATGGATCCAGGAAAGATTCCTCAAGGAGATAATGGGCTGCATCCTAAAGGATGTGCAACTCCATCTATTTGCAGAAATGGGGAAAAAACATTCCAAAGACAGGAAATAGCCTGAACCAGGACCAAGAGCCAAGGATTGGCATGGAGTGGGCAAGACTTATAATCAGTTTGAGCAATACAGAAAACAGCAAAAAGGGGAGGCGGGAGAGATGGAGCAGAAAATCAATATAAGGTATTAAAAATATCATCTGTGCAAAGGCTAGGAAAAACCCACATTGCACATCCAGGTAGGGGTTAAGATGGATTATGAATAATATTCATTATAGGTACAAGGCACTCACAGAAAGAAAATGGTGACTAGGTGTTCTCCATCTCTACCATGGGCAGAAGATGATTACAACAAAAAAGTGGTTAAACCATAGCCCAAGTGAGTTAAATTAAACAGGAGGAAGAATATCATGGCATCAATCATTGTTAAAGTGTAGACGTAACTAAGAGAGCTTTTGGAATTGCTTTCTGAAACATCTAAAAAAGATGATCTCTTAGTCACTCGTGTGAGGCAGTTTGATGAGGTGAGATGAACCAGACCTGGAGAAGTAGCTGGTAGGCCACTTGCAACTGTTGGTACCATGCTACTTTTCTGCAATCACTAAAAGCTTTCTTCTCTCCTCCCTTCTCTCCAGTCTTCTCTTCCTCTCTTCCATTCTTCTAGTCTCCTTCATCCTTCCCTCCAGGGGTTAGAATGTTGTTGGTTACCTCTGTCCAGAGCTTGAGACCTAACCTACCCTAATTAGTTGTGTCAAGTTGTTTCCAATTCATGACGATCCCACATGTGTCAAAGTAGAACTGTGCTTATTCATAGGGTTTTCAATGGCTGATTTTTCAGAAGTAGATCGCCAGGCCTTTCTTTTGTGGTGCCTCTGGGTGGACTTGAACTTTCAACCTTTCTGTTAGCAGCTAAATGCATTAACCATTTGCACCACCCAGGGACTCAGAGCTGGAGAAGGGGGTACTAGAGACCACATGGTGAGAGACCCATCTTCAAATGACTCACAACCACCAGTCCCAACACTCTGGGTTAGGCAACCACAAGCCCTCAACTCTAACACTGTGGAACTAAAAGTGTTTCAAAGCAGGTCACAACTTTCTTTAGGGTGTAAACTATCCCCAACTTAAAAAAGTAATGCATGTACAAGGATAGACCAATTAATTCTTTCTCAAACACATCGATTTACTATTTCATGAAAAGAACACATACATGCTTGAGTTTTAAATGCAAGTCTTGTATTAAGCTGTGTTCATACAAAGTTAACCAGAGGTGAACTTTGTTGTCTTCCATTTATACGAAGACATTTCACCAGGAAAATTAAATCCTAGTTGCCATGCCTGACATTTCTAGCTAATTCTTAACTCCTCTTTCCACTGAGTAGCAATAAACGTTGGGCATTTTCTTTTATTTAAATTGTGTTTTGATAGTGCATTTTCAATAATAAAAAAAAAACATGACTAAAAAGTGCATAGATGAGGAAAGAATAAACAATTGTACAAGTAGGATGGATCTCACTAAGTAATTAAGAAAGCCACACATGTAAACTTTTCCTTTGCTTAGTACGTCCTTTGTTGTATATTTGACACTTGAGCTAGAAATTAAGGCTGGTACATTAAAATTTTTCTATTTCCAAACATATTAGCTACTTGAGATGTACTAACCACTTAACGGCTCCTTAGTTCAATTCCAGGGAGTAAAAGATGAGGAAACTCTTGCCCATAAAATTTTTATTGTTCCCACTGGAAATGAGTAAGATGTTACATTATTATCCAGCCCTATTTGACAGAGAAACCATGGAAGATAGGGACTTGGTGATTTATTAATAGCATTTTTTCATTCAATGTGAGGGCCTCAAACTCAACTCCCAGCTGGCTATTTTTCTTCTGACTTTGCCAGCAAAAGGAATTTCTAGCCCTTCCCTTCCGTGGATGATTGTAAAACTGGCCATAAATTCTTCCTTTCCCAGTATGCCTGTCCATCTGCAATGTGACTTCTCAGCTCTTTCCATCAAAAGGTGGAGTCTATTTCTCCACCCCTTGAATGTGGGCTGGCCTTGTGATTGGCTTTGCCAAATGGGATGTTAGCAAATGTGATGCAGGCAGAAGCTTGAAAGGTACTTGAACATGGGAGTTTGCTTGTTCTTGCTGTTCTTGGAACCCCAAATCACCACATAAGCACATAAACAAGCCTGAGTTAACCTGCCAGATGA